TGAAAAATGTCATCAGTGTCCCTGAGCGTAAATGGGAAAGTTGTTATGTTGGTGAATGTCTTGTTGTGTATGTTTTCATTAAAAGAAATTTAAAAAATTAAAAAAATATAACTTATGGATTATAATAGTCTGATCTCATTGTCCATGGGGTCTCCAGAAGTCAGGGGCCTACTGGACAACAGCTAGTAACAACAATGAATAAAGTAGGCTTTATCACTTCATCTCACTTAGTACAGAAATGATATCCCTGTCTTTAAAGAATACTGCTTTGGACTCAAGACCTCAAAATGTTTTTGGAAGGGTATCATTGTTTTTTGGACAACACAGTGACACTACTTGCTTACAATCTTTGTGCCAGATGAGGTAGCCTTGCAAGGGCTCTAACGTAACATTAACTGACTCACTTATGTCGACATGTATGATATTTTTTCCTTAATTTTGCAGTTTTGGGAGTGTCTTCTTTCTTCCTCATGTCCTGTGAGCATAATTAATTTTTCTAGTGGCTATCTGTTCCCAGTTAGTCACTTAAAGTCCTCTCATCCAAGGCTTTGAGCCAGTTTTCACCAGTCAATCATGGCCAATGAAGCAAAATCAGAACAGACCCACATTTTTAATTTTTAAAATTGAGTGATCCAGAACACTAATCAGAACAAGAAAAATTATAGGTAGAAGTCCTGGAAGGGAGACTCAGAAAAGACATAGTGAGCCCTTTCAGGAGCCTGATGTGGGAGACTCGGTTATTGCTGGGACTGCAGAGACAGACACCATTACAAGCAGCACAGTGGCCACCATCTTTGAGCTGGGCACTGCTGTTTTCCACTTGACCAGTCGAGCACACTGTGCTAATTTTTTAAGAGGGAGATTACATTTCCAGTGGGGCTTTCACTTGTAAGTTTCCAGTTCTGGTTAGTGTTCCAGTTCACCCACATTTTAAAAATTCAGGTCTGTTCCAGTGTTGCTTCATCAGCCATGACTAAACCTAGCTCAGCCGGTTCAAAGCCCTGCTCTGTTCATAAGTGGCTTTTTGGACATCTCAATTCACCACAGTAGCTAGTATTTTTCTGCCTGCAAGAACAATAAGCATTGTTATTGTTACTGCAAGAAGAGATACAACACTGCTTATGGACTCCTATAGTCACTCCAGCCCCTGCTCACAGATAGCTATTTGTTTTACAAAAACAGAGACATCATCTATCCCATTTTACACAATTCTATCTTCCTGAGTGGGAGCAGTCCCAAGAGAAGGATATCGTGCTTGGTAAAGTTGAGGATCCGAAGAAAAAGGGGAAGACCCTTAACATGATGGATTGACTCAGTGGCTTCGACGATGGGCTCAAGTATAGCAATGACTGTGAGGATGGTGAAGGACCAGGAAGTGTTTTGTCTGAATCAGAACTGACTCGACAGCACCTAACAACATCATCTTCCTGAGTGTTTAGAATTGGACTCGCCTAGAGAAAATTAAAAAGGAGCTCTGGTGGTGTAGTGGTTAAGACATTTGGCTATTAACCAAAAGATCAGTGGTTCGAACCCACCAGTTACGCTGCAGAAGATGAGGATATCTGCTTCCATAAAGATTTATAGGCTTGCACACCCAATTGGGGTTGCTATGGGTCAGAATCAACTCAACAGCAGTGAGCTTGTATTTTTTGGTTTTTGAGACCAAATTAAAGGCTTAAATATTTGACAGTATTATGTAAAAACATTCCTTATTATTGTTAATCTTATGACATCTGTTATGTGTTTTGTTTTTTATCCATTTTATATATCTTATTTTTTTAAATTAATTTTTACTGTGGTTTCATGTTTCTGGGATAGTCAACATATATTTTATATAATTTAAAATTAACAATATACAATTTATACACATTTACACAAATATATACTTGCAATACATGCCAATTACCTTTTAATGTTTATATTTATTAGCTCTGTTAATTTTGGTGATGACTAAAACTTGAATATATGACACACAATTTTGGTTGTTGAATGCAGGACACACAATTTTCGTTGACTGAAATATAGCTTATTTGGCAACTGAAACATGGTAAGTCTTTTATTTTAGAACAGTTTATTTAATTTGTCACCCTGTAAATATCATGTTTAACTCTTGGCATTTGGTAGATTTAACTTACTCCAATAGCTTATAATTATCATTTGCTCTTTGTTTCTTGAATTTTCATCATTGGCCATCAAAAGTTCTTCACTTTGGCTCATCTGTACTTTACAGGCCAACCCTCATGTACTCTTGAAAGCATCCTTGCTGTTGAGTAAAAATATGTTCCAGACCCAACAAAATTTTCCCTATCCCAATCATGGCATCCAGCTATTTTTCCCAAGAAATTCTGATTCCTTTTAATAGAGAGTAATATTAGAGATCAGGATCAGAAAACCTGGGCTGCCTATTAGACTGTTTCATATAAATAAACCAAAAAACAAGCAAACAAACAAACTCACTGCCATCATCAAGTCCATTCCAATTCACAGTGACCCCTACTGGGTTTCTGAGACTGCAAACTTTTATGGAAGTAGATTGCCCCATCTTCCTTTCCCAGAGCAGTTGGTGGGTTTGAACCATGGACCTTCTAGTTAGCAGCTAAATGCCTTATCCACTACACCACCAGAGCTCCTTGTTTCATATGAATACTGAATGGAAATTAGGATGTAACTTCTCATTGTCTTCTTTAGGATGAAAGAGAAAAACTGTATTTGGTTTTGATTCAATAAAGATCATGAGTTCATAGAGAAGGTTTCATTTTAACTCTAACTTTACCGAGATACTTTTTGTTCTTGATGTGAATCATATAAATTCAAACACTTCTTTTCTGAATTATCAACTATAATATTCATACACCATGCAAAAAAGTGTTAATCCATTTCTATGAATTATAATACTATTAAAAGTTCTGCAATCTCAATTGTTACAGTCTAATTGTACTTTAAGTATATCATTCAATAATAATCACAATTATTTTCATTATTTCACCATTTCATTTTTGGCCTTCAGACAAACTAATGATGTTTTTCCTAATTAATCAAGTAAACATAGGTAGAGCCTACACAGGGATGTCTCTCTATTTCCATAAGCAAAATACAGACCCCATGTTTATTTGCAAGCTAATATTACTATTATTTTCAATCCTAGGCATTTTGAGTGTTGAGCTACAATTTTTCAAAGGCCTTTAAAATATGTAAATATTTATTACCTTAATATTGTACCAGTTAAAGTTTCCAGAAAGCAATTAAGAATGTCAATAAATACAATGAAATTAATCTCACTTTAATATTAAATTAAAATGATTAACTGTCAAAAATATATCAAGTGTTAGACAATTTTAACCAAAATTTCAAGAGGGACAATTCTATAAGCCCATATAATATACAACATTGCTTAAGTTTAAAAAGAATCAAATCATAAAAGATTGTAACATACATGGTTTAGTATGTACTTAAGTTGCAGTTTTTGCTTGTTTGTTTTCACATCATTACACTTACCTATCTCTCAGCCAATCTATGTATGGGTGTACTTTACAGTTTTGCACTCAAAGATACTTTTGGCTGTGGAGTAATTTCTAACTCATAGCAACCCTATAGGACAGAGTAGACCTGTCCTATAGATTTTCCAAGGTTGTAATCTTTACAGGAACAAACTGCCATTATCTTTCTCCCATGAGTGCATGATGGGTTTCAACCCACCTTTCAGTTAGCAGCTGAAAGCTTTAACTACTGCACTATCAAGGATAAATACAAGTTATTTATGAAGTTATGGTTATTGAAAGCTTTAACTACTATAGCTTTAATGCAATAACCTAATTTTTAAATAGAATAAAATGTGCCAGGCCTGCATCATTATTTTCGTATTTTATAGTAATTACAGAATTATCACAGAGATAAAGTCCCATTTAAAGAATTAAAGAAGAAATAACTCTTAGTTGATATTAAATACTTTTCCAATTTGTAGCAGAAGGTAAAGAGATTCCATGCTGAGAAGTATTAATTTCTTATTCTATTTACTATATAGGGTTAAATTGTTTTTCATATTAAAAATATTTACGATAAAACCCTCCCAATTATTAATTTTTAAAATTTAATTGAACCAGAACAATAAGAAAATGTAAATAGCCAAAAATAGTTATGGAAAGTATGAAAGAAAGCTAGTGAGGAAGAACTTACCAGACATTAAAACTCACTAGAAAGCCACTGCATTCAGAACAGAATGGTGTTGGCACAGAAATAGACAGATAGGATCAAAATAGAGAGTCCAGAAATAGATCCAAATGTATATGGCATCTTTACATGTGACAAGGGTGACCTTTCAATTCCATGGAAAATAAATGTTCTTGTCATAATTAGGACTTAAGTAACTGGTTATCCATCTAGGGGAGGAGAAAAAAAGAAACAATCCTACCTCATGTCATATATAAAACTTAACAATAGGATAAGATTTAAATGTTAACAAAAACTGAGGAGAAAATTTAAGAGAATATTTGTATGACCTTAGAATGGGAGACACCACCTTGAGCAAAACAGGTAACTCAGAAGCAATAATAATAACAAAGAAAACATATTTGACTGAATAATTAACAACTTTCATTTGGCAAAAGCCATCATAAACAGAGAAAAAACTGTGAACATATATTTGCACACATATAACACAGGATTAAATTTCTAAAATACAACACTGCTGAAAAATTGAAAAAGAAAAACAGTACTAAACAGAAAAATGGGCTGTGTAAATAAACATGGAATGAAGGAAAAGAGAAATTAAAATGATCAATAAATCTACAAAAATATGCTCAGCATTAGTGGTAGTGAAGGAAATGCAAATTAAAGGAATGCTTCAGGATATCAGTATTGGCAAAAATTAAAAAGAACAGTGGCATCCAGTGCTGGCGAGAATGCAGGAAATGCGCACTCTATGAACTGGGTGAGAAGGTGATTTGCTAAACCTCCAGGGAAAGCATTCTAGCAATATCTATTAAAATGGAAAATACACATACCGTTTGACCAAGCAATTCCACTTCTGGGAATCTATCCTATAGGAAAAAAAAGGACCAGTATGTAAGGATACAGGTACAGAAGATGTTTATTGTAATACTGTTTTTTGGGGGTAGAAGGTAGGATAGTGGGGCACTGGAAACATGAATGTACATCAATGGGAAAAAGGTTGAATGAAATATGGTTTATGTATAATATGCAATAGCACATTTATTAAAAAAGAGTGGGGTACAATTTCTATCTACTGAACAGCAAGATTGATAAGGTGAGAAAAGCAAATTGAAGAGGGACTGCTATGATCCCTTTCTTCTTAGGATAGGCAGCAACACCTGCAGCAAAACAATGTGTGAATGCCCTTGTAGTAGTATGAAGTAAGGAATGAAAGAAACAAAGCTACCTGGTGTTGTGTGTGGAGACAGGGATTGGAAGAGGTGGCAATTAGTTCCTTCTCTTTGCATATTGTTGTGCTGTTTCATTAGTTACCATATTTACATTAGTGCCATATTTATTTTATAATTTTCAACAATATATTCAGAAAAAACTGCTGGCTTTAATCAGAGGTATTAGAATTGTAGTACTTTCAAGCATTCATCCTTACTAAAATAGTAACAAAGAACATACATTCCTTCTCATAGTCTCATTGAAGTAAAAGTATCCATTTTGATTGCCTCACCAACATCCATGCCATCTGTTTGTATCAGCCATTTGGTTTAGTTAAGATCAATTCTACCCTCATTGCTAAGGACTCCCGAACTGTCTAAGCCACTTAAATAATTTTAAATTTTCTAGTAGTCACATTAAAAACAATTTAGAAAGAAACAGGTAAAAGTAATTGTAATAATGTTTTTTTTTTAATCTACCGCAATATATGCAAAATATCATTTCAGCATATAACTAACTTAAAAATATCAATGACATAATTTTTCTTATTTCAGTTGGACTGGCCACATTTCATAAGCTCAGCAGCCACATGTGGCTGGTGGCTAGTATACTGGACAGCAGAGGTGTAAGCTGATGAGAGAAATGCTGTAAACATTACTCTGTTCTTGGGGGAGACATATAATTAAAGATGGCCTGAACAAAGAGAAACCTATACGGGTAGGAGGGAAGAAATTTCCTCCTGATTAGGGTTAACAAGAAGAAAAAAAGAGAGCAAAACTGGGGAACTGCTAGCAGCCTGAGGAATGGAGCCTGACGTAGGATGAAGAAGACACTTGGTCCTCTGTCCCCATCTGTTAGATCTAGGAACAACCCCACCTCCAATTGTGACAATCAAAAATTTCTCTAAAGATTGTCCAATGTTCCTGAGGGGAAAAAATCACCCGTAGACCAACAATCAGGTCAAATGCACCAATGATCTTCTTAGTGTTACAGGACTCAATCATGCCAGCGATCATTAAAGCATGATGCCACCTTTTCTAGGTGTTCCCTGAATTATAACTTTTCCAGGTCTAGCAGATCTCTCCTCTGGTCCCACTGTTCTTCCTCTACACTGAGCCTGAGCTCTCCTTTGCAGTCCTCTTTTTCAGGGATTTGGGGAAAAAAACCAAGACAAAATCTCTCTGACTTCAACTTGAAATTATTACTTGGGCTGATGCTTCCAGCCACCCACCCACCCACCCATTTCCCTTGGGCCTCCGTGGGGGGATTTTCTGAAGAATATTTGCTCCTTTGTGGCCACTTATTCTTTAACTCCCTGGAGAAGCACATCATGCTTGGTAAAGGATCAGCAAAAAAGGGGAAGACCCTCAACGACATGGATTGGCAGGGTGGCTGCAACGATGGGCTCAAGCCCAGGAGTGATATTGAGGATGGTGCAGGACCAGGCAATGTTTCCAGCTGTTGTACACAGGGCCATATGACTTGGAACCAACTTGATAGCTCCAACAACAACACCAATTAATTAATGTCTCCCTGGGTTGGGTTAGTCATCTCCTCCACCACATCTCAGAGGACAATTTCATCTTAGTCCATCCACATTGTGTCACCTCACACATGGCTCTCTCTAATCCACCTCAGAGCTTCAGTATACTCACTATTCAAGTCACCACAGCTCCACAAATTGATCCACAGATTCTATGTATTCCATTAAAAAATCTCAACAGAGTTTTTTTTTTTTCTGGTAGTAATTGACTAACTGATTCTAAAATTAATATAGAAGTGGAAAGGACCAAAAATAGCCAAAATAACTTTGAAAAAGGAAGAACAAAGTTGAAGGATTAGCATTTTCATGTCTAAGACTTTCAAAGCAACAGTAATCAAGACAGTGTGTCAATGGTGTAAAGACAGACAAATAGATCAGAGACACAGAATAGAAAGTCCATAAATAGACCCACACTTATATGGAAAAGCAGAGTCAAAGTCAATTCAGTGGAGAAAAGATAACTTTTTCAAAAAATGGTGTTGGAACAATCAGAAATCTATATGCAAAAATAGGAACTTAGATCCAACACCACATCCTATATACAAAAATTAATTCAAAATGGACCATAGACACAAATGTAAAATCTAAAACTATAAAATTTATAGAAGAAATCTTTTAAGATCCTGGATTAGGCAAAGATACCTTAGATATAATACCAAAACAATGATCATTTAAAAAACAAATTGATAAATTAGACTTCAAAGTTAAAAACTTCTGCTCTTGAACAGACACTGTACAGGTAACCAAAAGGCAAGCCTCAGGTTAGATGAAAATATTTGCAAATCATGTATAGGAGCTTTAATTATAATAGACAAACACCGTAAACCATCTGAATGTCCATCAGTGAATGGATAAACTGTGGTGTATCCAGTCAACAGAATATCACTAAGCAATAAAAAATAGACTATTAATATATGCTATAGCTTGGATGAATCTCAAAATAATTATGCTGAATGAAATACCCCCCCCCAAAAAAAAAAAGAAAATAGTAGTGCAAAATGGCTTCAGAATACATACAATATGGCTTCATTGTATAAAATTTTAGGAAATACGAAGTAATCTTTAGTGATGGAAAGCATTAGTGGTAGACTGGTTGGGGGTGAGGGTAGAGGAAGGCATTGCCAAAGGGCATTAGGAACTTCTGAAGGTGAAGGATATTTCATTACCTTGATAGTTTCACAGGTGTATATATAAGTCAAAATTTGTGAAAGTGTGCATTTTAAATTATGTGCTGTTTACAATATATCAGTTATACTCCAATAACATTGCTTTACAAAAGAAGAAGAAGAAGAAATGCATTGTTAGCTTTTGGGAAAAACCTTAATTGCTAGATCATGTAGGGTTATACTGCTCTTGGGATAACTGAAATTGGTTACTTCTTTGTGGGATTCCATGAGAAGCATCAGTTGTTGTTTTTTGTTCTATTTTGTTGTTTTAAATTCTACTGTGGGTTAATGTAAACACAATTCACAATTCCGGGGCAATGTTAATGCAGCCTGTTATTGTTAGCTGCCTCTGAGTCAGTTCTGACTCATGGCCACTCCATGTGTGCAGAGTAGAACAGTGCCCCATATGCTTTTTCAAGGCTGTGACTTTTTGGAACCAGATCTTCAAGGCTGTCTTCTGAAGCACCTCTGAGTGAGTCTGACTCGCTAATGTTTTGGTTGGTAGTCTGGCACTTAAACATTCAGATCACCCACCAAGGGACTCCCTAAATACAGCCTAGGGTAGAGCAAAACAAACAAACAAACAAACTAGCTGCTGTTGAGCTGATTTTGATCCTGTGCGACACTATAGGACAGAACAGAACTGGCTAGCAGCTTTCCAGGGAGCTCTGGTAGTGCAGTGCTACTGCTGACCAGAAGGCTGGCGGTTCAAACCCACCAGCCATTCCTCGGAAGGAAGGTTGGGCAATCTACTTCCATAGCGATATCGCCTCAGAAACCCAAGGATGGGTCGCGATGAGTTGGATCCGACTCAACGGCAATCAGTTTTGTTTGTTTTTTTTATAGGTTTCCGAGGCTATAAATTTTTATGGAAGTAGACTGTTACACCTTTCTCTCACAGAGTAGCTACTGAGTTCAAGCCACCAACCTTTCCATTAGCATCCAAACAACCACTGTGTTACCAGGGCTTCTTTAATAGAGCCTAAACCAAACCAAACCTACTGCCATCGAGTTGATTCTGACTCATAACAGCCCACAGAGTTTCCAAAGCTGTAGATCTTAAAGGAAGCAGACTGCCTCATCTGCTTATCCTCCCAGATAATAGATTTTTTATTTGTTCAATATGAAAACTATGCTTTATACCCTGAAATACAAAACCTCTGGTGAACTCACGTGCCTCATACAGAACAATGTGTATTATTACATAGGCAGAGGCCAAGGCAAGCTGAGAAAAGAAGTAAAACTCACCTTCCCTTTGTCCTGCCGCTGGCCCAGTAGAGAGCTCCCCTCAACCCAGAGCAGCTACACATAAGATGATACATGGCGCCACCTTCTCAAAGTGAGTGCCATTTAGAAAAATAAATCTAAAAGTTGGCCTCTATCTCAAATCTGAACCACTACCATCAATAAAAATACTGCATTGGACAATCAGGGTTTAGGAATACTGGTAACTACACACTAAGTGTTAATGTTACTACGTGGAGGTTCAGTGAAAAAGGGGAAGGCCCTCAACGAGATGGACTGGCACAGTGGCTGCAACAATGGGCTCAGGTACAGCAAGGATTATGGGGCAGGTACAGGACTGGGTGGTGTTTCATTCTGTTGTACACAGGGTCACTGTGAGTGGGAGCTGACTTGATGGCACCTAACAACAACAACATCACCACAAGGATATTCCTCACAATCTCTAAGATGCATTGAAAGTTGGATATCATTTTTCTGTGAACAATATTAAGCACAATGCATATGCCAATTTAAAATTTTCTAAGAGAGTAAAAGTACCTTCATAGAAGCAACTACAAAATATGCAAAGCTTTCTTGAAATACTAGTTTATGTTTCCGTAATATAATTATTTAGAAATCCTTCAATGTAACATACATATATGAATTATTATTAAAATTTTCATTTCAATAAAAAAAAAACCTTTTTTTTTTTTTTTTTTTTACC